GAGCAGCACCGGGGGGGGAGCAGCACCGGGGGCGGGGGGAGCACTCTGGCCTCCAGGCTCCTGGTCTTGGGTGGGAGGAGCAGGCTCTTCCCATTGCTGGGGAGGAGCTGGCGAGACACACTGGGACACACCAGGATTGGGGTGCCTGGGAGATGGGGGTCAGCAGCTGATGCCCTGGTCTGGAGCTTGGGGGAGACCATCCCCCAGTTCTGCTCCCGGGAGCCGGCCCCTCAACCTCTGGGAAGCCCCCAGGCTCCCCGCACACCCTCTGGTCCTCCTCTGACCCTCAGCCACGCATCCTTCCCCCCTGCCACGGGCATGAGGCCATGCAGTGGGGTCCGCTCTGCCCACCCTCCCTTCCATGGTGACAGTAGGAACTGCCTTCTGCAGGCTTCCCACCTCCGAGCATCACCCGTGTCCCCTCTAGAGCCCCACCCTCCCCTCTGCAGCCTGCCCCCTGCCTCCCATGACTCCCACCTGGCCCGCCTCTGGAGCCTGCTCATCAGCCTCCTGTCTGTCCAGTCCACCCCCCGCACCAGGCTGAAGACGGCACGGTCGCCCTGCAGGAGCGGGCCTCGGCCCCTGTGCCAGCCCCCCGCCTCACCAGGAATGGACGCCAGGCACTGCCCGCCCGCATCGCTCAACCTACGTTCTTTCCCACCTGGTCCCCCCCGGGCTCCGCTGCATCCTTCGTCCCACCTGGCACCTGCCTCCCTCACTAAGCAGGTGCCCGATCAGTCATCAGATCATGACTGATCTCTGGCTTTTAGATGTGGCTCCCTCCCTAGACCTGGAGCCCCAGGAGGGCGAGGACCAGGCCGCCTTGCCTCTGAACGCACTGTCCAGCCTGGTGCTCACACACAGCAGGGGAGCTGAGGCTAGCCCGAATGCCGAGGAGAGGAGGGGGTGCCCCTGCGGCGGGGTCTCAGGATGACCCTGCTCCCGTTCTCCAAGGTCCGGCTCAAGCCACCTCCATCTCTCTCCTACCCCGCAAGACCCTGGAAAGCTGTCTCAAGAAGAAAGGGGAAATGTGACTGGGGGATTCCCAGAGGCCCCGTGCACTGTCTTGACCGGGAGGTCGCAGGGAGGCGGTGGGATACCTCAGGGTAAGGCACCCAGCTTGAGCCCTGTGGGTCTCTGGGTACAACTCGGGCTGAGTCAGGAGAGTGGGGGCGTCCCAGGGCCCAGGTCACATGGGGCTGTGGGAGGAGCGGCCCCAGGGTGTGGGCTCACTTCACCCACCAGGAAAGATGGGGTGCAGGACCCCAGGGAGCCTCAGACATGCTGATTTCCGGGGGCCCAGCACTGAGGAAGGGGAGGGCCACACCCAGCAGGTGACGGCCAGTGAGGGGGACACCTGGTGGGGGTGGAGGGCCCTGTCGCCAGCCTCCTCCCTCTGTGTCACCTCCTCAGTGATGAATCAGGTATTCCTGCCCTGTCACTTCCCCTGGTGCCCAGGATCTCCTGTCCAGGGTCCCTGGGAAATGGAATTAGGTAGTGACCGTGAGGTGGCTGCTGGCCAGTCCTGGCCAGTGGGACCCTTAGCCACCTCCATCAGGAGGAGCATGGCAGGAGTTGGGAAGTCAGTGGGGGTGTGGCAGGAGGCAGAGGGGGTGTTGGCACCCCCACACCCTGCCTTGGGTTCCTGAGTGTGCTCTGAGACACACGTGTGCTGCTGGCATTCCTAGAACATTCTAGAATACTTCCCAATGCAGGTGAGGGCTGAGTGGAGGGTGCAGAGAGGGCGGCCCTTCCCCTTCATTGGACACCCCCCTTAGGCAGGAGGATATAAGCACACATATGCAGCAGGGTGCGGGAACCGTCTAACGCAGACTGCTGGTGTGGGGACAGAGCCGGTACTGGTGGGGGTCTCATGGGGGCTCCCATGCCCCTGGGTCGGGCCTGATCCCATCCTGCCTCGGGGCCCTGTTGTCCATGGGGCCAGGCTGCTAGACCTGGGGGACGATGGTCGCCCTGGGGTGGCCGGAGCGGCAGGTCCCGCACAGGGATCAGACGGCACTCATGTCCCCGGTATTGAAAGCAGGAAGAGCAGAAAGAGGAAGGAGTCCACACAGCCCACCAGGGAGGGAGGAATCTGGGACCACCTGCAGCTCCAGGACCCAGGAGTGCGGCCCCCAGAGGCCAGGGCTGGTCCTGTGAGGAGGGGGCTAGGCCCCCACGAGGGAGGCAGCCCATTTCCGGGACACCCCCAGAAGGAGGAGCGCGAGGTCAAGGACCCCTCTCCTGCGTCCTTAGCATCTCCCTCCAGTGCTCCTGGTGCTGGAGCCTAAAGCAAGCTGCAGGCAAAGGAGGAAACCCGTCGGCCACCCCAGGCCCAGCCCCGCAGAGCCGCGAGGTGGCTGGGCAGCTGGGGGACAATGACAAAGCAGCGGGCCCACTGATGCCCTCGGTGACTTACTTTACAAAGGCGACTGAGGCCTGGGAGCGGGCCTGGGGCTTTGACTGGGTGATGAGAGGAGAGAGCAGCCCCCGCCCCTGGGCCCGCGTCCCCCCCCCGCACCCACCCCCCAGAGCGCCATCCTCTCCGAGTGGGTGGGCATCACCACGCCCATTGCAGAGGTGGGGTCTCACCCACAGGCCGAGTCCCAGGTCAGAGTCCCACAGGACTGCGTCCCCCTGCACGCCTCGCTCCGGGACGCTGCTCACTGTTCAGGAGGACCGGAGGTGCTCACGAGGCCTCTTCCCTCCCAGCGGGCATGGGGTCGGCCTCGGCCGGCTGGGCAAGAGCCGGCAGGCCCCAAGAGCATCAGGCACGCCCCCTGGCCTCTTTGAGCAAGGAGGGGCGGGTCCAGACCATCTGCGAGGGTCGCCCTGCTCAGCTAGTTCAACCCAGTGCCCCCAGGACGGGCGTCTTGACTATCCTGCAGACCCCCTGCGCCCCAGCCTCGCTGGGCCCAGACCATGCAGCAGAGGGAAGGTCCCCAGGAAGGGTCCCGGCAGGACCTGCAGGCGACATTAGCCAGCGGCCACGCACGGGACACGAAGCTGCCCCGTAAGTGCTGCTCGGGTGGATGAGCGAGTGGGAAATCGGGCACATCTCCTCCGGCCGGGGCGCGTCCCTTACAGACTCAGACTTGGTAACGGGGCCGCACACCCACGCTGGACTTCGTCTGTTCAATGATTTGTCAAATGACATCCAGTGACCCTGTGGAAATGAGAAAGGCAGAGGGCAGCCGTCCTCTTGTGTTCCTGGTGACAATGAGGGGAAACCATGGTGACCGTCCTGGGTGGGGGCTCCCTCTGACAGGCCCTCAGGTGTGGGGGGCATGGCCCGTGCTCACGGGAGTCTTGTGGGGGCTCCCAAGCCCCTGGGTCCCGCCTGACCCCTCTCCTGCCTCGGAGGCTGGGCTGGTCATCCCGGGGACGGTGGTCAGAGCGCTTCTGAGCACTGGGCAGCCCCCACTCCATCCTCGTGACTTCACCCCTGCCTGCTTCCTTCCCTGGCACCCAGGCTGTCCTCCTCGGTGTCCCCTGGAGGTGGGATTAGGTGGTGACCCCAGGGCCAGTGGTGCCAAAGTCAGGACAAGGAAGGGGCTCGAGGTCAATCTGGGCTGGGCGACCGGAGATCAGCTCACTGACGGGGGTGGTGGTTCCTGGGTCTGGTGAGGGCTGGACCTCGGGGTCTGATGGGAACGTGCCCGGGGCCCTTGGAGCTGGACACGCACATGAGGGTCGGGATGGGTCTGCTGGGAGGGAAGCCGCCACGGTTAATTGATGCGCAGCCTCACAGATGAGGGAAGTCAGAGGGTGCCATGCCCATCACATGAGTCCCGGGGCTGAAATGTGACGTGGGAGCCACGGGGCTCCGGGGGAGACTCCCCAGGACACTTCCCATTTGAGGCGCCAGCAGGGGTGCGCTGCCTCTCACCAGCCCCAAGCCTGTGTCAGGGCACCAGGCGTGCAGGGGTCCCCCATGCAGGGCCACCAGCTCTGCGGACAGCGGTGGTGTTGGGAAGCCCGGGTTGGGGGAGCCCCTTCTGGATGGGGAGATTAGGGTTTGGGTCTGAGCACAGTTCGCACCCCAGAGACCCTGGGCCAGACCCTGTTGCTTTCTGAGCCCGTTGACCCATCTGTGAAATGGGAGCGAGAATTAACCAGCCCAGCCCCCTCCCAGGGACAGGTGGGGTGTGGACCCAGCGGGTGGGGCTCAGGGAAGGCAAAGCGTCACCCCCTCCCTCACTCCCACCATGGGTCGGGGGAGTGGGGGACTGAGGGTGCTCCCCTCCCCCAGCCTCCAGCGGTCTGGGGAGAGACCCCTTCTGCAGAGCTGTGCTCAGGAATGTGTAGGTGGAAACCAGCCCTCCCCAGTCCCAGACAGACGGCACTGCGTGGGGGGACGGGGCTCCTTTGGGGGGACGGTCACCCTGCTTCAGCCGACGCTGTGACAGGGAGCAGGAAACCAGGAGGGCTCCTTATGGCCTTGGTGCTGGAGGGAAGCAGCTGGGTGACTCCCTGGGCGTCAGAGCGGCAGGGGAAATGCAGATGCACGATTCTGGGGGGGCACCCGGCTCTAGAGGAAAGTCAGGGGGGCTGCTGAGGGACAGGGGGGAGGCCAGGAGAGCTTGCTCAACCAGAACTTAGCGGGGCAGGAGGAACGGAGCCCGAGGCTGTCTGTGTGGTCCCGCCTCCCTCCTTTGCATACCCCTCCCCTTGGGGAGCACTTCTGCTTTGCTGGGCAGCTCCCGCCTCCTGCTCAGCCAGCCCCGCACCCCTCTCCCGCCCGTCGCTGTGGGGTCCTGTGGGGTCCTGGCCCCTGGCAGCCTGGCTCCCACAACGGCAGATATTGGGAGACGGAACTGAGGCCCAGTTCCGATCGGAATAGCCTCCCCCATCGGGCCACCGACAGTTTCTCTTTCCCTTTCCTTTTAGAGAAGGCAGGTTCCGGGTTGAGTGTGAGCTCGACCTGCTGGCGGGGGTCCTGGGACAGCGGCTGGGGAATGAGGGGTCCTGAAGAGGGACATGGAGCCTCTTCGAGGCTGGGAGCCGCCCCCCTGGAGCCTGACACCCAAGGCTGATGCCCTGAGCCAGGTGAGTCCCTGGAGCCTGTGTGTGTGTCTGCGTGTCTGTGTCCCAGGCTCCCTGGTGTGTCCTGGCCCCTGGGTGTGCTCCTGCCCTCTCCGTGGACCCTGCCCTGGGCCATACCCACTTCCTGTCTCACGTGGGCTTTTGTCTCCCAGCACTGTCCCTCTGGGCTGAGCCAGCCCCGGGCACCCAGTCCCCTGGTCCCACAGTATGGGGGAGCAGAGTGGCAGGAAGTCATACCCACCAGCTGGGGAAATGCTCCTCTCCTCTCTGGACACCCTTTCTCTGCCACCCTTTTCAGGGCCCGCAGGACAGCCCCCACGGCAGGAGGCTGCTCTTGGAAAGCAGGCGGTCAGGAAACCCCACCCATCCCCACCCTCCGCCTGCAGCCTGGCTGTTAGTTGATAAGATAACTCCTTACTTGTGCACAGAGGGCGGCTCCGTGAGCCTGCTGGGCCGGCTGCTCCCACAGTGGAACCAGGTTCCCCGGATCGCCCCGCTCACCCCCAGGCCCAGAGCCACCTGTGTCCCCTGCTGGGCCGGTGCCTCCTCCAGCCATCCCTGCTCTGACCCTGTGGTTCCCCAAGGGCTGTTGCTGCCCCATTTCACAGAGAGTGAGCCTGAGGCCCCAGGGGCCGCCCTGGCAACGGCTCTCCTCCATGCGGATCCTGTCTCCTGCAGGCCCTGTACCTGCTCCTCCTGGGGTCCCTCCCCTGTGCCCTGGCCATAGCCCCGTGCAAAGAGGAAGAGTACCCGGTAGGGCCCGAATGCTGTCCCAAGTGCAGCCCAGGTACGTGCATCCCTGGAGGGACCCGTCCCTTCCCTGCCTGGGGCCCATACCTCAGCTCATGCTCCACCCCCTGGGGCCTTCTGAACCCCCCGGGGGCAGGGGCACAAACAGGGGAGGGCTGAGTGCCTCCCCCCACCCCCAGCTTTGACTCTTCCTCCCAAGACCCTCTCAGCTGCAGTGCACAGGGATGTGGTCTGGGGACCCAGCCGGCCCATTTATGGCCAGAAGCTGGGGCCCAGAGCCGGCATGGGGCACAGTTATGCCCACATGCACCAGGACATTCCCAGTCCCCCCGACCCCCTGCCAGAGCTGGCTCCCTGGTGAGAGGCAGCAGGACAAATGTGCGGTGTGGAGCACAGCTCAGGTGCCTTCAGCGTCCGGGGGGGTGTCCTGCCTGCTGGCGGCTTCCAGGCAGCAGGCCGGGGGAGCGCCCACAGGGCCCTCCCCAGGCCCAAGTGACACAGCCGCTCTGGGCGCAGGTTACAGGGTGAAGGAGACCTGTGGGGAGGTGACCGGCACACTGTGTGTTCCCTGTGACCCCGGGACCTACACAGCCCACCTAAATGGCCTGCGCGAGTGTCTGCAGTGCCGAGTGTGTGACCCAGGTAAGGGCCCTGGCCGTAGCCGCCGTCCTACTCGGGTCCCACATCCTGCTGCAGCGGTGCACCCACAGGGCCAGGACCGGCTGTGCCTCGCCCCGCCTGCTGGGCCTGGGGGACTGGACCTTGTCCGCCCACAGTGTGCAGGGTCTCGGGACCGCAGCCCCCACACCACACCCCTGAGGGCACCTACTCACGGCCCAGCACTCGGACCCTCGCCTTCTTCCTGCCAGGTGGTCTGGGGTGGAGGGACCCCAGGAGGAAAGGCAGGACCCAGGAGAAGTCTGCAGTGCTTTTGGGTCCAGCCAGGTGGGGGTGAGGGCTTGGAGCCTCGGGCTCACCCACAGATCCTCGATGCCCTGAAGAAAGCACCTGTTTTATCGGGCTGAGGTTGAGGTACAGATGGCAGACGAGCCTGTCCCTCAGCAGGGGCTCGGGGGTGAGCCCAGGCCCAGCATGACCCCGCCTCCACTGCCAGCTCGTTCCATCACTGCCCTCTGCCTAGCCTGCTTGCAGCATGGGACCCTGCCCGAGGTGCGGCAGCTTCAGGTGTGGGTGGCCTAGGGCTGGGACCTGCCTTCAGGGACTGCCCCATGGTTGACTGTGGTTCTCGCTTCCTGTGTGGGCCCCGCGGGGACAAGGCTGTTTCCCCACCAGTCGGCTCCTCTCCTGAGGACGCCCTTCCACCACCCTCCTGACAGCTGGCCCCTGCTCCTTTTCCAGCCCCTGGTGCTGCGGCTCAGGTCCCTCAGAGCCCCAAGGGACACACCCTGTGCCCAGCAGGAGCAGGCCCGGGTCGGGCTGGGCAGGGCATACACTTGGCCGGGTCCTCGGGCAGGAGCACAGCTGGACCCAGACACACACACCAGGCTGCAAAGCTGGGCTGGGGGGCTGGTCACCAACCTGTCCCCAGACCCCCGGCAGGAGCCCAGAGGCCTGCGGCTGCTGTCCAGGCCTCTGCTTGGTCTCCTCCTGGGACGGGGCGCTCAGCACTGGCCATAGCAGTCCTTATGGCTGCTCTCAGCTCCTTCTCTTGGGTCCCAGCCATGGGCCTGGTGACCAGGCGGAAGTGCTCCTCAAAAGAGAACACTTTGTGCGTCTGTGACCGGGACCACTTCTGCGTCAGTGAGAATGGGGACGACTGTGCCGAGTGCCGTCCGCACACACTCTGCAGACCTGGCCAGAGGGTGCGGGCCAGAGGTGAGCTGCAGACCCTGGGCGCCCCGACTCCCTGGTCGCTGCTCAGCGGCAGAGCTGAGCGGCACCCCCTGAAGAGACAGACCCCACACCCAGCTTCTCTCCTGGCCTGGGCCCCTGCTCCCCTCTGCCCGGCCCTCTCATTTCCTAGGCACCGAGTGGCAGGACAGGGTGTGTGAAGACTGCCCTCCCGGGACCTTCTCAGCCAGTGGGACCCTGGAGGAGTGCCAGCCCTGGAGCACGTAGGTGATCCTGGGGTGGTTTCAGCCCCATGTCCCCAGGAGGGGCTCCTCCATGCTCCCTTGGCAGATAAGGGCCCTCCTCCAGTGGAAACTCCAGGGATGCCCCTCTGCTCCTCCCCATCATGTGCCGGCCTCCAGGAGAGAAGCTGGTGGACCCCGTGGCTCACACCCCCTATCACGGTAGCTGATGCGAGCTTCCTGGAGGCCAAGGATGGATCTTCTCTCCTGGGGCAGATCTGGAGGGAGCTGGTGCCCGATTCCTGGGGCCCCTGTGGTTCTGGGGTGTCCCCAGATCCAGGGCTGTGGGGGGCTCCCAGTGAATCTAGAGTCAGGGGAAGGCTGTCAGGGAGGTTCTCAAAGTGAGGACCTTGTTCTTCCTGTGACAGAATTCCCTGAATGCCCATCCCCGGGTCCTGGGGAGAGCCCGGGGTCACTAGATGTGGCCGATGTCGGGGGGAGGGAACAGGTTCTCTCTTCCACCATCCTGCCTCTCCCAGGTTGTCCCTCTCCTCGGTCTGCCACACTGGCTCTGAGGTTGCGCCCCCCGACCAGGGCTCTCTCTGCCCTGTCTCCTCGGACCCCGTCCCCGCCCCTCTCCCTGGGCATCCCTGTTTACCCACCTCTTCCTTCCCTCCCTCCGTCTGCCCGTAGTGGTGAGGCCTGAAAGGAGGCCAGACCCGAGCTCCCACCCGGAGCCACCGGAGCGTGCTGTGCCCCGGGCCCTCCCGGCTCTGAGGGCCGGGCCCCGCGCCCGAGCCGCCCCGGACCCTCCCGGCTGCTCTCTCTCCTAGGTGTAGCGGCCCTTTCGAGACACAAGCCCACCCTGGGACCAGCAGCTCAGATGTCACGTGTTCGTCCTGGGGCCTTTATGTTTTTGTGAGCAGTCTCATCTTAGTGGGGCTCTGTGTCCTCACAGTCCTCGGGGTGAGGATGAAAAACAGACGGTCGCCTGGTGAGCACGGTGCTGGGTCCCATCAGGGCTTGGGGCCCAGCAGTGGTGTCTCCCCGCCCTCTCCCTCTAAGGGGTGGGGGGGCGGCCGGCAGGAGCGTCTCCAGGACTCCTTGGCTCCTCTCAGGGGGTCTGTGCCCGCCTGGGGATGTGAGCTTCCCACTGAGTGGGAGTCCTGATGTCATGGGGTCTCCGGGGGCGGAGGGCCGGGAGGACAGGGCACCCTGCTCCGGGAGCCCCCTGCCACCCCCATGCTCACTCCCCACCACGGACCCCCAGTCCCCGTCTGCCCTCGGGGGCAGAGAAGCACCGGGCAGGCTGCAGACAGGTGGGGGAGTACGGGGGGTGCTGGAGGGGCAGCAGCAGGCCTCCACGGGCGAGGCCGAGTGCCCCCACGAGGCCACATAGCATTCATCCATTCCGCCCCTGCCCACTGACCCGCCTGCTGTGGGCTCCACATCTGGGCCAGGCCCCAACTCTGTAGACCCAGCTCTGGCCTTCGGGGAGCCCCGGGCATGCCCGTCAGGGAGCAGGCACTCAGCAAAGAAGTCCAGATGGGGACGGTCGCCCACCTTCTCGGGCTACTGTCAGCTAATGTGTCCTGGGTCCTCACACCGGGGCCCCCAGGCTGCAGGCAGGTCTCAGGGTCCCAGGCTCTGAGCGATTCTGGGGCACCTGCTCCCTGAGGGGTGGGGGACCCTCCTCTGTGAAGTGCTCACTCCCTTTCCCTGGATGACCATCACTGGAGTGAGTTAGGGACAGGGTTCGGCAGCTGGGGACTCAGGCAGGAGATGCCCCATGTTGGCCCATGTCCTGGGCCCTCTGCTGGACAAGTCCAGCAAGGAGTCTTGTCTACATGGGTTTGGCCTGTCCCCCAGAGGGTCCTTCTCTCAGGGAAAGCCACAGCGGGAGAAGCCGGAGCTCGGATCCCTCCAGCCCCCGTCACTGTGACAGTGTCTCTGTTTTGCAGGGGAATCCACCAAGGCGAGATTATTCCACCAGGTATTACTGACCGTTCCCACCCGCCCCTGACCCAGTGGAGGTGATGCTGTTGGGTGGGTGGGGGTCCCAGTTCTTGGAGGGCCCTGAGTCCTTAGTGTAAGGCCAAGCCAACTTGGGAAGGGAGGCCCCAGTCCTCCCCTTAGAAACCCAATGACCCTGAGCACTACAAGGCCCCCTGGCTGGACACAGGGCGGGCAGGCTCACCAAGAAAGACACTTAAATTCCAGCCGAGAAGGCGCTAGTGAGGCACTAGTCACATCACAGAAGGGGATGCTGGGTCTGTCCATCCAGGTTCCGCCGGCCCCACCGGATGTCACCACAGTGGCTCTGGAGGAGACAGCATCTGCGTCCCCCAGGAAGGAATGACCCACTCACGGATCGATGGCTCCAAGAGGCAAATGCCTGAGCCATCTTGGGCTGTGCCTGCTAGAAGCTGCCAGGCCCCCATGGGCAGAATGTGGACCGTCTCTGGGCTCGCTTTACACTCTACCCAGCACAGGAAGACCGGCCACTGCTCAGGGGGTCTTGGGGACCCCGCACGTCTCTCGTCCATTTCATTAGGGGCCCAGAGCCCTCCACTCACCTCTGTGCTGTCCTCCTGAGGACATGGCCACAAGCCTCTCTTGGCTCCAAGCCCTGCCCACCCCCCAGCCCTCTGAGCCTCAGCTTGCCCATCTGTAGTATGGGCCTGCTAGCACCTACTTCATGGCTGAGGTGACACGGGACGGACCACAAATGCGGCATGATATGAATGACCAATAGGAATGATTTCTAAATGGGATTGGTTTGCTCAACAAATCAAAATTGTTTTTTAATTTGCCATTAAAAAGTGTACTTTACAGATGCTTTGAGAGTATGTGAATACCCTGTTTCTCCTGAAACTTCACCCACTGATGAGTTTTGCCTGAACAGCGAGTTTCGAGGGTTTCCAGTTGGTGGTGTGATCCCCCCTTCTCTGCGTGCTGGCGAGTCAGCATCCGTGGACAGAGCTTCCCCGTGCCCTTTAGCCCCGTCACGCAGCGCCTCATGGTTCCTGTTTCAACAGTGCATTCTAATACGTTACTGTCATAATTCTGGGGGCTCACACGGTCCCAGATTTGTCTTACAAGATGCCCTTCAACTCGTTTCGGAGCCACAGTTCCTGCTCTGTCCCTGAGAATCCTCAACCCAGTCACATCCCAGTGACAATGAGCATAGCAGGCCCACATGCTGGTTTCTAAGACGTTCTCCATCAAAACCACCGGGCTGTTCACAGGAGCAGCTTGTCCCCGGCCAGGGCCTCAGGAAGGGGTCACGTCCAGGACAGGCTCCCAGTGCAACCTCCCTTCAAACAACGTTCCCAGTGTTAGATGCGGCCGCTTTAACCATCACCCATCAGCCCAAAGTGCATCTGCCCAAAGCGCCCCCAGAGCGTCCCACCTGAGGGTCATGACCAAGTCCACATACGTCACTGTCCTGCCTGCCCACAGCCACTGCGGCCACCACAATGCCTCATCCCAGTGTCTAAACAGTGTGAGCTTGGGCAGTGAGGACCACCGCGATGTCTTGGGGCACCTGGACCAGCGTGCCTGGCGCGGGTGCCCTTGGGCTCACCTGTGCAGGCTGACAGCCAGGCTCATCAAGAAGGACACTTAAATTCCAGCCCAGAAGGTGCTAGTGAGGCGCCAGTCACATCATAGGCATTTCCTGACCTTTGAAAGCACCACAGAATTCAACATGTAACATCCCCCCAAACACATTTTTACAAACAGCACATGCAGTGACTCAGCTCCGAGCCCTCACCACATTTTAGCCCTTTTGAGTCCTTCTGCATATTTCCTGCCCCCATTCTATCAGGAGCCTTTTTTTGAGAAACACAGATCCAAGGGTTTTAACACGGCCACGGAAGAATGCCCAAAGGATTCCAGAGACCAGCCCAGAGCCTCTGCCAGGAGCTCAGGAATATGGGGGGAGGAGGGGGGAGGCGACAGGGGGTTGGGGACGGGGGGGGCGGGTCCTCAGCATCAGCGCGAACCCACTGTGTGCACACTGCCCACATCACACATCCCTGACAGTGGCATCCGTGGGCTCTTTAATCGATGTATTTATTTTGCGTTCCTGAGACGTGGCCCCTCTTCGCCAATCCGGGAGTGAACTGGTTAGAGGTTTCTGGAGGGAAGTCATGGGATAGGATGAGGCAGGCTGCTCCCTGCCCCAAGGGACTCAACCCACAGCCCCACCCTGAGCCTGCCAGGCCCACCTCCCAGCCTTTGCAAGCCTTTCCCCACCCTGTCCTCCCTTCTCCTGCCGCCCTTGGAGCCCCGAGCCCTCAGTGGCTGCCTACCCCGCAGGCCTGAGCCTGCTTCCCCTCGGCAAACCCCATCCTTCCTCCTCGTGACCACTTCACCCGAGTCTATTTCTGCTTCCACCCCACCCCCTCCAGCCCTTCCCTGGTCCATGGTTTTGAGAGTGAAGTAGGGCCACCCAGGCCGGCGATCCTGAGTCCATCAGCAAGTAGCTCTTTCTGCTCCCAGCACCCTTCCCTCCGGCCAGCAGGAGGCCAGAGCTTGGGGCGCCCTGCCAGCCCGGTGGGTCCTTTCTCTGCAGCCGAGCTCGTGTGGGTGCGAAACAAGGCAGGCATCTCCTTGCAGGATCCCCGACCCTGGCACTGCCACCCTGTGGGTCCCAACCGTGGGGAAACTGAGACCAGGGTTGCTGGAGTGTGCCTCCCTGTTCCCTCAGTCCCTGGCTGAGTCCTGAGCCCTTCCCTTCCAGTACTGGGGGTACACTGAGCCCCATGCCCTTGAGGAATGTGCTCTCATCCGGCAGGCAGGTCTGGGTTCTGAGGGGTAGGGCTCCTGGGGCCCAGGGGAGGTGGACGGGGCTTCCTCCAGCAACACAGCAAGAGTCCTGCTGAGCTGGTACTGCGGCTCCTGGGGCCACCAGGCCAGGA